TGAGGAACCCGCCACTTTTGGATTGCGAGACATTTTTGGGACACCCTGCATATACAGTATCAGACTCTGTACAGTACACATCGGACTCTGGCGTCCAGAGAAATAGCCTCGCGCAGAATTCAGCCGTACCTAAAAGGTTAAAAATCCTAAGCTCACAAACAGCCGGCTAGGCACGTTCGTGTCATAAAGAACATTAGTGCTGTGCACTAACAGTGCTACTGCTTCGAAGTCGATCTGAATGTGCCAGTCGGGCCACGGAGTCGGTTGAACCGGAGAAACCGTATTAAAACGCGAGCAACGGCGATAAAGGATAACAGGAGCGACTGGAGCGTTAACGGATCAATTATCGCCGAAGGCAATAATCGTCCGCGTTCGCGTTCTCGAGCGAAGCCCTCGACACGTGGCCTCCGCTCCGAACGAAATCCACAGCGAGCCAGCCGGCACGGCGCGTCTGCGTCCGTTTGCGAACCTCTTACTTAGCTTGTAACTTCGCTAATTAATAACGCAACTGCGCGGCGCGATGGCGCGGGGACGGCCGGGTATTGATGTTTATTAATGATACACTAAAGCCGTAATTAAACGCGGAACGTGCAGTTACACGCGTCCCGTCCGCGCGCGCGCCCGCCCGCCAGCCCGCGTCAGCCCGTGTTAATCCGACCGATGCCGCTCGTTTGTTCCACCGACGGGGGGAACTTCGATGCTCGACGGCACGACGCCGACCCTGCGTTCGATAATTAAACGGGGCCCGCCGATAATGAGTAGACGAACTCCTCTGCCGCGGTCGAAATCGAGACACCCGCGCCCGCGCCCACGCCCGCGCCCCAGCCGGTAATTTATGCGGCAGCGAACTTCGACGTTTCTCCGGCTGGTTGAACCGGCGTGAACTTGGAATCGAACGCTTCCAGCAGCCAGGCCACGGTACACGAGATAGATTTACCATCGAACGCCGCGGAGCGTCACGTTTCCGTGGGCCATCGATCCGCTCGAAAGCCCATTGATCCCGCAACGCAGCTTGCGGTCGGGAACAGTCCCGCTCCAAACTGTAATTCGGCTGATGCCGTTCACCAGGGTGAAGCCAATGCCAACTGCGCCGTGCTAATGGTAATAAAAGCAGCCGGAAATTATGGGAAACCCGAAGAGACTGATCGTGGAAACGACTTCTGAGACACTGGCGTCTTGCGTTTGACGTGCAGTCGGAAGTAGCGGTGTGTGGGTATTCGAAAGTTCGGGCATCCGAGCCTCGGGTCGGGTTTGTTGTTGATCGGGTCGGGTCGGGTCGGGTTTGCCATCGATCGGGTCGAGCCGGGCCGGGTTTACAGTCGATCGGAGCCAGTCGGGTCAAATTTGCCGTCGATCGGGTCAGG